CATTACACTGGTGATTAAGCTTCAGTATAAAAACTTGGAGGCCATAAGCATTCCAATCACAGTGATAGCAAACCATATGCATGAGCATTTGCAGAAGACCCAGTATTGTAAGACACAGTTAAGAAGAGGGTGGAGATTAAAAAAAGTAATTGTCTAATTTGAGAAATACCATCACTTGCCAAGTTCCAGGAACAACCGTGGGTGTTGACTTTGTTCACACTGTGGGTCAATAAACAACCACGGTCAGGATTATCACAAAGAGAAGAAAGAAAGAAAATTCACCATCCCTCCAACCTGTCAGCCGTGTTCCTGGAGCAATGGCAGAATTCCAGAAACTGCAAAGCACTGCCATTAATGGTGTAACTGTAGCTTTTCACAGCTCATGTGCTACACTACTTGGGAGACGCTTTTAAAAAAATTACATTATTAGCAACACATAATGCATCAATCAGTCCTCTATTTTAGGCATCGAGCACGATTCTTTCTATCCCCAAGGTGGTGGTAGATACTTCACCTAATGGTTTAATAAGCACACCTCATAAACAGTGTAATTATCCGTGTTACAACCTGGAGATTCCCGGAGTCACTTAACGCTTGGTGTTGCTATTTAGCATCCAGCAGACACCCTCCAGGATGAATGAGTGCTAAGCAGTCTGTGGTACACCCTCGGGGGCTTGCAGGCATTCTGAGCCGGGCAGGAAGAGCACGCGGTGGTGACAACGGAATGGCCCAAATCTCCAAAAATTCTGTCGCTGCTGCTGCACTTCTTAATCACGTAAGAGATGCCATCTTAAGCCAGGAAATAAGAACCACTTCCTGCACTGTGGCGAAGTGTCGAATGCCTACGAGTGCGCCGCAACTTCCCTACATTTCCAGCCACACACAGCTAGGCAGGGTCCCAGCCGCAACACTCCGAGGTGCCGCCGCGTCAGTCGCCTGGCTGAATTAGTGGAAAGCTGTGCGGTTGTCCACCTTTTCCTTGGTCTGGGATCAAGAGGGACACGCATTTCCAGATGTCGCAGTTCACAAAGTGGTGAAGCCTCCTCCTTCAGCCTGGGCCCCGAATGGCTGTGTGGGGCTGGGCGTGCCTCTCACCCTTGGCTCGTCTCCTTGTGGGCCCTTGAGGAGCAGGCAGAACGAAGATGACCAAGGACCTTGTCATGAGAAGGGAGGCTATTTCTTCTATGCGCAGTAGCTCTGCTAGTGGCCAGGGGATGTGTTTGTAAAGAGTGTGTGTTCATTATCTTTGTCACCACTGTATACCTCAGTTGCTTCATTTATATCACGGTGGTAATTTCTCAGAGGACTGTTAAAAATAGTTTAAAAAGTATAAAAGTAGGAACTGGAGAGATGGCTCAGAGGTTAAGAGCACTGACTGCTCTTCCAGAGGTCCTGAGTTCAATTCCCAGCAACCACATGGTGGCTCACAACCATCCGAGATAAGATCTGGTGCCCTCTCCTGGCCTGGAAGCATACATGCAGACAGAATAATGTATACATAATAAATAAAATCTTTATAAAAAGGTGTAAAAGTAGTCAAGGCATGTGTGTGTGTGTGTGTGTGTGTGTGTGTGTGTGCGCGCGCCGCACGCGCACGGGAGGGGGGAGGGAGAGGAAGGGGGAGGGGAGACAGAGAGGGAAGGAGGGAGGGAGGGAGGGGGAGACAGGGAGAGAGAGAGAGAGAGACATGCTGGGTTTCAAACTCAGGGCCTTAAGATGCTAGCCCTGTCCTATTCAGCTACACCTACAGCCCAGACAGATGCACTTAGAACAATGCCTTGACATGGAAGGACAACTGAATGCTTCCCTTAAATTCATACAAAATCCACACTCCCAGCCCTTTACAGAATGTGACGGTATTTGGAGACGGGGCTTTTAAAGATGTGATAAACACTACATGAAGGCATAGAGTGGGCCCTAATCCAACGTGTCTAGCGCCCTTATAAGAGGAGATTATGAGAGCCAGACAGGCACAGAGAAAGGAGTATTGGACAGTGCCGGGAGAAGACACCGTACTTAAGCCAAAGAGAAAGAGGGGCTTCAGAAGAAACCTGCGTCTTTTGATACTGTGTCTAGGATTTGGGGCCTTCAGCAAGGAGTTCCTGCTATTTTAGCCTTCTATTCTCCGGTGTTTTGCTATGGCAACCCTAAAAACTCAACAGAAGAGGCACATACGCTAGCTGGCATTCAGTAAGTTGTCAGCCACCTGATAAATATTGACTGGCAGCAAGGGTCTGTTTTCTTTACCCAGTGTTCCACCCGTCTTCCCCTGAAACAGTGATCGCCTAGCCGGCAGCACATTAAAGTAAGTCGGGGGGGCTCTGGAAAGGTGACCTGCCTGGCCTCCACCTTCACTTGGAGATTTAGTTGGCTTGCGCAGGAGCAGGACCTCGCACTGGTAGTTTCAGAGGACATTCGGCTGAGTCTGCCGCGGGGCACCCGCGGGGTTGATGCTCCCCTTCCGCGCGGGTCAGCAAATGGCTGCTCACCTGCTTAGCACCACAAAATTTGCCTCGAACTTGACAAGCCACAAACCGAAAGCAGCACCTGCGGGCGGCTGTCCCTTTCTGTGGCACCCACGCCTCACAGAACACCAAGCCTGTGGCCCCCTGGCTGGGCAGCCGGGCTGCCCCTGTGTTTTCACTCAAGCAGTGATGCAGAAGAGCTGTGCTGTTGATAAACCTCTGGTGGGGGAGGGGAGGAGACCCTGAAAAGAAAGGGCTTCGGGACTTTTAGGAGAGACGCCAGCCCAGCGTTTCAGAGGCCTCCTTTGTGGTTAGCAAGTTAGCCTACGACTAGAAGGTGGCTTGCATGCCTGGGTGGGGTGGGGGTGGGGCGCGCGAGTGAGGAGCACGCAGACCGGGGAGACAGACTAAGCAAGATCATGATTACAGAAAAGGCTGGAAGTCAACCCCAGATGGCCACAGTTGGCCACAGATGACCCGGACCAGAACTGAGAGAAACGTCCCGTTTCTGCCTAATTCTGGGAGAACGTCCCCCTTAGCGCTCTTAGATCTAATCCTCATCGTGTGCATCTATCTGGTTTGCGTCCCTTGTCAGCACTGGAACTCCCTGCCTTGAATGCCCGCCGTGAGTTGATTACTCTCTTCAGATCTGCCTCCTCAAATTTGATGATCCCTGTTGGTTTATCTGACCAGAACGCTCAAAACTGCTGGACTTTGGTAAACTTACAAACTGGCTGTCTACCCTTGGCCATCAGTTATGGTTGGGGAATCTAAGACACACCTCAAGTGGAGGCCAAACTGTCGGTTTCAACAGAGACACCCCCCCCAGGTCGTATATTTTGCCGTTGCCACTCTGAGCTGCACCAGAGACAGTCACACGGATGCCTTCAGCACATGATTAGCCATCCCAGCTCGGGACCCAGGAGGACTAAGAGTCAAGAGAGGACTTTGAAGTTCATTTCCTTGGGGGTTGGGGGATAGTCAAATTCCCTGCACCACATTTACCCTAGCTTGATCAGTCCCTACTCAGAAAGACCAGCGTTGTGGCCTGTGGAAGCAGAGAGAACAACTACATGCAGGAAGTGACTTTCTCGGGGGAGCTAAGGCATGTGAGTCCTGTGCGTCGGAAGTGTGAACTCTGATAAGGAATGTGTGGCATGGACCCTGCCCTCTGGGAAGCTGCACATTCCTGAATGCAACCTGTTCAGTTTGCATAATATTACTTGTATGTATGTTTTCCTCTTTTTGTTGTTTTTGTTTGTTTCGTTTTTGGTTTTTGAGACAGGATTTCTCTGTAGCTTTGGAGCAGCCTGTCCTCCTGGAACTCGCTTTGTACACCAGGCTGGCCTCGAACTCACAGCGATCCGCCTGCCTCTGCCTCCTGAGTGCTGGGATCAAAGAGGAGCATCACCACCACGCGTGCATGCATCGCGGCTATATGTATGTTTTCCATACTGACCATTTGGCAGGACAACCAATTGGTAGCCTCGTCCTTGGGGATGAGTATGTTTTCTGCTCCTAGTTTTCCTTAGTTGCCTGTAGTTCTCTGTGTTGAGTTGAGGCCTCACGGGCTTTTCCCTGTCACTTTGCTGAATTGGTGCTGCTGTCCTTGTTTGGCTCACATTTGGGCATTCATGTTGGTGAGACTTCATGGGTGTGGCTGACTGACATTCCTAGGAGACACACTCTCAAGGAAGACTCCCTGATCCTCCGGCTCTTATGATCTTTACACCATCTTTTCTACAGTATTCTCTGGGCCTTAAGTGCAGGAGTAGATGTACTCACTGGGACTGGGTTTCACAGCTCTGCATTTCTGTTGGCTGTGGTTTTCTGTAGTGGTCTCTCTCTACTGCAGAGAGAGGTTTCCTTGATGAGGGGTGAAGACTACAATTACCTGTGGGAATAAGGCCCGAATGTCTGTAGATTGTTGTTAGGGATTATGCTGGTTGAGTAAATTAGTGGTTGTGGATTCTAACCATGACCTACCTCTCTAGCTCCAAGTAGCCCTTCTATAAGTGGCTTTTATGAGGGTATTTCACCACAGTAACAGAAAGAGTCATCAAGACAGCTACAGTTCTGACTTTCCATCTGGGCACAGAGCAAAACAACACCATAGAATACAATTAAATGGCTATGGGAAAACAAAAGTTTCCTAGTTCTGTACAGACAGGGAATCACTCCATGGACCAGAAAAGTTTAGATAGACGATGACAGGCAAATTAGAGGACAATTGGCTATACCATACTTAAAACAAGTCCCTGTATCCTTATGGCAATTTCCAAAGTATCCATTTTATCTCAAAAAAAAAAAGTCTGTGCAGCTTACACTAGGTGGTTAAGATTCAGTTTCATGCCTGTTTACTTACTATAACCTGTCAGCTTCACTTACTCACAGAAATGACGGTCTAACTCTGTTTAATACAAACAATTATGTTATGATCCCTCTGGAGTCTCAGGCAGTTGAAGGTGCCAGACACACTCACTTATGGTCACTGGGAAGTGAGGTTTAAACATCATGTTGTTCTTTTACTTCCAGTTCCTGTCTCCCAAGTTGAGTCAACTGAGCTACAGAGGCCTGAATAAATTCCCAGAAACATGCGTGTTGGGTGGGGTTCCCGATGAGGGGCCCATGTCTTATAGCCCACGGATTGTAGAAGGATAAACCCGGTGAGTGGCCACATCAAAATTCATTTCTGAGTCTGAAATGCGAACAATGGTAAATGAAGCTGTCTTTTACTGTAGCCTGGGCAGTCAGGTTGGTATTTCAGAATATAATTAAAAACCATGCAACCTCTCCTAATAGTGCTCTCACCTTCTTACAGTAGTGGGAAAACTCACAATGTTTCTTCCACAAGGGTGCAAGCCCTGAGGGAATTTACAAGGAGGGCCATTCTACTCTGAAAGGATGGGGAGGCAGAGGAAGGGTAAATGACTCTGGGAGGTTGAGATGTTTGAGCTGAGTCTGAGATAAAGAAGGAGGAGAAAGGAAGTTCCTTCCAAGCTCATGGCACTTGCCACACTGCCTGGTCTACAATCATGTATTTTCTTCCTCATGAGACTCTCAAGTATTACGACCTAGATTTGATCCCTATAAGCCAAGTAAAATGTTTGATATAGTGACACACATCTGCATTCCCAACACTTAGGCCTAGTGAAGCATTTATCACTTTTAGTTAGACAAAAAGGGGGAAATGCTGCAGGATATTTGATCTTACAGTGACACTCCAAGACTGATAATAAAATTAATTGTAGTTGTGTTTTTTTTTAAACTCTTTGGGGGCCTGCCACCCAGCTCCCAGACTCATTCTTACTTATGAATGCCTGGCTTTAGCTTGGCTTGTGTCTGGCCAGTTTTTTTTTGTTGTTGTTGTTGTTGTTTTTTTGTTTTTTGTTTTTTTTGGTTTTTCAAGACAGGGTTTCTCTGTAGCTTTGGAGGCTGTCCTGGAACTCACTTTGTAGACCAGGCTGGCCTCGAACTCACAGAGATCCGCCTGCCTCTGCCTCCTGAGTGCTGGAATTAAAGGTGTGCGCCACCAACGCCCGGCCCCTGGCCAGTTTTTCTCTTCAACCCCCCATTTCTCTTCAACCATATTTTACCCCTGGGATTTTTACCTTTCTCTATTCTATGTATCTTTCTTTTCTCCTTACTCTGTGGCTGGCTGTGTGGCTGGCCCCTGGTGTCCTCCTCTCCATCTCCTATTCTCGCTCCTCCCTCTTCCCTTGAGCCTAGACTACTCCTTTCTGTCAGCCCCGCCTATCCTTTCTCCTGCCTCACTATTTGCCACTCAGAACTTTCCTAGACCAAAGCTTCACAGGGTTAAACAATTGCAACATGTAAGAGCGCGGCACATTTTTGCATCATTATAAAAATGCATTCCACAGCGTAAATGAATGTAACACATCTTAAAAATAATATTCTACAACAATTAACCTTGAATGGGGGGGATGGGGCAAATTAGCTACTTAGCTGGCCAGAATTAGGCATAGAGAACTTGGAGCACTCAGGTTACAATGTGATGGAGAGGAACCGGAAAGAGGAGGGCAGGGCATGGGAAGAATCTCAGGTCTATTGGGTCTGGGAAGAGTGGACAGAGAGGGTCAGCTGGCCATTCCTCTCCTGCTTTCTTGACCGATCCGGTTTTGACCTCCAATATCTGACTCCCCCGCTTTTTTTTTCTAATTAAAAATAGAACAGTCTAGATAAATGCTTCCTCTGGTGTCCAATGTGCAACGCGACGACATCATGCCAGCCCCGTGGCTGTTTCTGCCACCACTACCGGACACACCGCCCCTGCAGGCTTCTGCAGTCTCAGGAGCCCAGCAGCCGCCACCTCCTGCTGCCCACCACAGCCCCAAATGCTGCAGCCTGCCACCGGCTCTGTCATTGAGATGGGTCCCATGCCCTCGCACATGGTGCTGCAGCCTCCTGCCACACGGGCTTCTCCTGGCTGTCCCCCTGTGTCTGCTTCTTGGGCAGCTCCCCCCTCCACATCGCCATGGATTGCAGGCTCCTTCAGCTTAGCCGTCTCCATTGCAGAATATTATTTTAAGGGGGGTTGCATTTGTTTATGCTCTGGAACATCTTTTTTTTTTCCTTAAACAATGTAGCTGTCTTGTTCTTGTTTGTGCTGCATTTGTTTCACTCTGTGAAGCTGCGATCCTTTGCCTGTCTAAAAACACCTGATGGTCTGATAAAGAGCCCAGCGGCCAATAGCGAGGCAGGAGAAAGGATGGGCAGGGCGGGCAGGCAGAGAGAATAAATAGGAGAAATGATATATACATACATACATACATACATACACACATATGGAGAGAGAGAAAGAGAGGGAGAGAGAGAGAGAGAGAGACAGAGAGAGAGAGAGAGAGAGAGAGAGAGAGAGAGAGAGAGAGAGAGAGAGAGAGAGAGAGAAGGAGCAAGTGAGATCACAGAGAGGAGAGGAGGATGACAGGGTCCAGCTATACAACAAGCCATGGAGTAAGAGTGAAAGTAAGAAGATATACAGGAGTAAGAAAAAGAAGAAGCCCAGAGACAAAAGGTAGATGGGTTAATTTAAGTTAAGAAAAGCTGGCAAGAAACAAGTAAAGCTAAGACCAGGCATTTTAGAAGTAAGATTAAGTCTCCCCATGTGTGATTTATTTGGGTGTTGAGTGGCAGGACCCAGAAACAACAAAGAAGCCCAAAGAGTAAAAACAAAACAAAAACAAAAAGTAAACAACTACACACCTTGACACCCACTTGCACCTGCTTGGGCTTATGCTGTCACTGTCTGCTATCATCACATACCCACAGCCTGCACCCTCAGCCACCCCCTGCATGTGAGCAGCTACAGGTGCCCTCAGCCTGGCCCATGCAGCACAGGGGCAGCCTGCTACACCTTGCCAGCCAGGCTGCCTGGGAACCCTGCTGAGCCACATCCCCCCCCCACAGCTGAGCACCACCACTGCAGTTCTGCAGGGAATGGCAACACCACTCTGCAAAAATTAAAAAGTCAGGAGATCTGGTGAGACACCTGGGAATTCGTGAGGAGGGAATTAGATTTTATTTTCTAAAAAAATCTTTCCTACATTGAGAAAGGGAAACACTATTCCAATGCAGGGCATTATGACTCTGTATAGTGCTATAATAGATGGTTTGAAAATGAAAAAAAAATAAATGAAGTGGTAACTGATTTAACTGGAATTGACATGGTGTCAATTGTAGTTACTATTATCAGTTTGGTAATTCACATTATATCCTTTAAAAAAAAAGAAAAAAGGTTTGATGGTTGTGCCAAATATGCAAAATTGACTGATAAGATGATGTAAGCCTTAGAAAGCCCTACTAGTGAACCTAGGAAAAAACGCATAGACAGAGGAGTTTAGAGCAGAACCCACAACACCATTGCATGATGAAACTGAAGAGGAGCTGCCCAAGGTTATTAGAAAACCAACCATAGTTTATACAGTTACCACACAATAACAAACCACCAAGGCTATGCAGAGGTTATCCTGAATCCTGTAAAAATGTTGTATTTGAGAAGATTGGAGGAAGCAGTCATTTCATTTGGTATGCATTCACCTATGTGAAGCAGATGTTAAATTCATGGGGCAGCTCAGAACAGAATTATCCCCCAAGACTGGAAAGATTTAGCTACAGCAGTATTGGAAGCTGGTCCTCAGTTACAGTGGAAAACATGGCAGAAAGAGGAAACTAGGGCCGTCGAATATGAAATAGGGCTAGAGGTATTGACATTCTCAAGACCAGTTTCTCAGTGAAGGCAAACAGGCTGACTTGCAAAGATGGTTTGGATTTGGTAATCATCCCTTTGGCCGTATGTCATCTAGCATCTTTGGATGCTTGGGATAAGGTCGGTGAATGAGGAAAGAGGACTGTGTCATTTACTAAAATTATACAAGGTCCAAAGGAAGGCTTCACTGATTCTTTTTTTTTTCAATGCTTAACGTCAGCTGTAAATAGAATGATATGAGGTCCAGCAGTTGGGCAAATATTAATTGAATCTTTGATTTTTGAAAATGCTAATTCAGAATGCAAGTGTGTGATTAGGTATTTAAAGGCAACATTGGCACCCACTGATAAATAGATCTGATACACTGCTGATATTGGATCTCATACTTATGATGATACTTTGATAGGAGAAGTGATTTCTAAAAATTTTAAGAAAAATCAAAAGTCCAGATGTTTTAATTGTGGTAAACAAGGTCATCTGAAAAGAGATAACAGGCAAGGCATTTCTAGAAACTGTTTTTTTTTTCTAGAGATAGTCCAAAAGAAGGCCCCAAATGATGGGGGAAGTCCTTCTGTATATATGTTTCTCTTATTGATTGATGAATAAAACACTGATTGGCCAGTAGCCAGGCAGGAAGTATAGGCAGGACTACCAGATGAGGAGAATGCTGGGTTGAGGAAGGAGAGAGAGGCCATGAAGAGAATTGCCATGTAGCTGTTGGGAAGATAGGACGCCAGACCCTTCTCTTATAAAATAAGACTGACCACGTGGAAATACTTAGACTAATAGAAATGGGTTAATAATTAAAAGAGAGCTAGCCAATAAGAAGCCTGAGCCATCGACCAAACAGTTTATAAATTATTGCAAGTACCTTTGTGTTTATTTAGGGCTAAAGGGTGGTGGGACCAGACAGAACAGAACCTCTGACTACACCAGTCTTTTGAAGAATGTAGGTGTGGCAAAGGCTAACACTGGACCAATGAATGCAGACTACAAGGGACAGACAAGGTAACCCTTTGCCATCAGAAAACACCTTAGGGGGCCTCTCTCAGATCCTCATGTCAAATTTGGTTCAATCATTCCCTGTCAGCATTGGAGAAACTCATCCACAGATCAGTTAAAACACTTAATGCCTGTTGTTAAAAAGCATACTGCTCTGGATGACAGAACAGCTTCAGTAGACAAAACAAAGTTTTCAGAAGAGACCAAAAAAAAAATCCAAATATTTTTTTGGCAAACTTCTATAATGATCAAAGACCAAAGCTAAAAATATAAATAAATGGTATTGCAGTTGAAGATTTTGATTGACACAGATACAGTTGTAACACCAATTTCATCAAAATTCTGGCATCCAGCTTGGTCTCTTCAGAAGGTAAATATTCAGTTTCTAGGGATTGGAACTTTATCTCAGGTAAAACAAAGTACACGGTGGGTCGAGTGTATAAGAACTAGGAGGACAGAGAAGAAAACTGAAGTCATAGATGGCTAACACAGCAAAGAATTTATGGGGAATTCAGCAATGGAAATACAGATTAACATTCCTCCAATCTCATAAACAAACCATAAAATGAAGAATGCTTCTGAGAGAAATATTAAAAGGTATTAAGACGAACAGTCACCAACTGTTTAGTTGTACATAAGCAGGGCACAACAGCTGTGGATGTTTCAAAGGTACCAACAGTACTACCTCTTAAAATGGTTAACTAGGAAACCTCTCTGGGTAGAAAAATGACTTTTGACATCAGAAAAATTAAAGGCACTAGAATGTTTGTTACAGGAACAGCTAAATGCTCAACACATTGAAGAATCAACCAGTACCTGGAATTCTCTTATGTTTGGCATTTAAAAGAAATCTGGAGCATGGAGAATGACAACAGATCTGAGAGATGTAAATAAAGTGATCCAACTAATGGGCTCTTTACAGCTTGGAATTCCCTTGCCTTCCTCATTACCTAGTGGATGGCCTATTATAGTGATCGATGTAAAAGACTGCTTTTTTATATTTTTTTCTATTCACAGTGTCACATTAATTCTCAATCTGTTATAAGATACCAGTGGAAGGTCTTGTCACAAGGTATGTTAAACACCTTGGGCCAGATGAAGCCTTTATCTAAGTCCTTATATTATTAATAAAAACTGCCGAGTCAGGCATTGGGCTTAAAAACCTGACAGATCAAGAAAGTGGTGGAGGAAAGACCAGCTGATCCTCTCTCTTTCTATGGTTGAAAAGACCCCAGAATCTTCTAAGCCTCTCCCTACTTGTTCCTGTGCCTCTCTCTTGGATTGTATTCTGAGTTCTCCAAAATCTCTATGACAAATTCTGGCCAACTATTCGTTGACTCCACCCCCGAATCAAGGCTAACTTTATTAACAGTCTCAAAGTGTCACAGTATAATTGAATATCCCACGGCAGCCTAGGGATGGGAAGCAAAGTCAAAAGAATCAGACGGAAGGTCACATAGCCAGTCAGCCTAGAGAGAACATAGAGCATCAGCAGAACTAAGGGAGACCCTGTCTCAAAAAGTGGAAGGTGAGAGCTGACTCCTTAAAGTTACCCTTTGACATGTACATGTATGTACATCATGGTATAGGCCTGCACTTGCTGCTTGTTGCCTGGTTCCCATGGAGCTGCACTGCAGTGCATAACACAATAGTATATTTATAGGTATTTGATGCCGCAACGATAAACGGCACACTTACTGAAAGTATAAGTAAGTATTTATTGTACAAATTACTCACAAAAACAAGCAACCCAGATGAGCCAACTATTTTTCCGCTGCCGAACTGGAAGCCGGAAAGAAGGCAAGACATTCTGCCAACAGTCTTTTATACCTTCCTCCATACATGCCCCTTGCCATGCCCAAAAGTGGGCCTGGCTAGTGACGTAGTTCACTGCCTACGTCCGAATATATCTTTAGTCATGACTAAAGTGGTGTGGTTAGCGGTGTGGTAAACCACCCTTTAATTACCTCATCTGTATGCACCTCTAATAAGTCACAAGGCTAATGACGGAGTACTGTTTCCTCCTACAGTTATTGATTTGTATAACCTTAAGAATTGCAAAAGAGCAGCAGAAACTTAGGATGCAACAGGAAGACAAACACTTAACCAGGGGGCACACACATGCACACACATGTGTATGAGTACCCGTGGGTATACACACCGATGTGCGCATGCACACACACACACACACTCTCTCTCTCTCTCAAATAAATAACTGAAAATTCTGGTGAGATTTCCTGGGGTCTGGGCCAGGTTGGTCAACAAAACTCTCAAAAGCGCTCTATGACCAAGAATCCAGAGCATAAGGCGAATAGGGGGGAAAAAAAGACACGTTAATGTATAAAATTAGGTTGGTGAGAATAAAGAGTTATAATAAAAGAGAGAGAGT